CACTGTGCTGTTCAGGCTGACCTTGAGCTCACTTTGCAGCCTAGGCTGGTCTTGAACTGCAGTAATTCTCCTGTCTCAGCCTCCCAAATGCTGGGACTACAGGTGTGTGCCATCACGCCCTGCTTGTCAGTTTTTTTACAATGAAGATTTCTTTTTTCTTGTCAGTCCCTCTCCTTCGTGACTTTCATCCACTGTTTCTTCCAAATCTCTACCCCTCAGATTGATTCAGACCTGTCCTTAAATGCTGAGTTTTGAATTCAAGCTGCATAACTTGCTTCAGAGTTCTGGGAATTGGGCATATCTTTTGGAGGGCATCCTTTCGACCTACACAGTTGGTTATGAGAACTAAACCAATTATAATCATGTGTATGTTTTCGTGTATTTATACATAGTCTTTAACGTGATGTCTGATCTGAGTTGGTACTCAGCTGGACTTTAACTCATCTCCTTTTCTTTAGTAATTTATGCTTTCAGTGTGCTGCATCCTGGGAAGATTTCAGCAGCTCTTCCTTGGTTCGATGTGTTCCTGCTTCACTTCCCACTGCTGTCCCTATCGGAGCCCAGCAGGAAGTCTGCTCTGTGCCTCCACCCCTGTGTCCTGGATGTCTGCGGCTGTGATCTGCCCTTCCCGCACTCCTCGACCGCAGCCTTCCTAATGTCCATGTGTAGCTGTTCCTCACCTTTCATGTTACATCTCATCCTCACAGTGGCCTGTCGTTCTTTTCCCGTCCTTTCTGTTTTTCGAGTCACCAATGTTCTGGGACCTAGTTACCTATTTTCCATTACTACCGAACTGTTCTTCCCTGGGTGTGTTCCGTACCTGTGCTCCTTAGAGCCTCTCCCTGTTAACTCCATCAGAGGACATCTTCTTTCTCTCCTTACTCTTTTAACCTTATAAATTATTTATTCTTTTCTCTGGCTTTTAAATTCAAGATGTAGTTATGCTCAGTCATTCTTTTCCAAAGAACCTTTTCTAGACTTAACCATCTGTGATTTTCTTTTTCTGAAACTTGATGTGTTAATTTTTCTGTCTGTCTGTCTGTCTCTGTCTTTTTGAGACAGGGTTTTGACCTGCAGTGCAGTCTGGTCTTGAACTCACTTTATAGCCCAGGTTGGCCTTGAACTTGCATTGTCCTCCTGCCTCAGCCTCCCAAGTGCTGGGATTACAGGTGTGTGCCACCATATCCAGCTGTCACTGTCTCTTGAAGTATTTGTTTTTCTTTTGTTTCTTAAAGGATCTGGTTTCTTCTTTCTTTCTTTCTGGTACCAGGGATTGAACTCATGACCTTGTACTTACTAGAAAAGTGCTTGAGCCACTGAGCCAAATCCCTAGCCCTAGAAACTGGTTTCTTGGAGACTGATTTCTTAAAGGCTTTAGCATTTAGAGAGTTCAGAGGGTAAATGGTGTGATTGTGCCAATAGTTCACTGTAGCCAGCCTGCTCCATCACTTGCTAATAACTGTGTGGTTTTGGGCAAATTAATTATTTCTGTGTCTACAGAATGGGAATCCTATTAGTACTGTTATGGCTTGGGTATCTTGCTAAAGTCTGACATGCTCATAGAGGCTTTTGGGAGGTGATTGGATGCTGAGGGTGTGATTCTCTTCAGTGGATTAGCCCACTGATGAGTCCATAGCTGAGTGTGAGTGTGTTGGGAGGTGATGCTGGGGTGTGAAGCTGAAGCCTGGTTGGAGGAGGTGGGGCCCTGGGAGCGCGGCCTGGAAGGGTCTGTCTCCCTGCTTCATCCCTCTGCCACTTGCTCTAGAGCTCATGTGTGCGCACATTCTCTTTCTCTCCACTTCCCATTCCCTCTCACCAGTCCCCTGTCCCTTCCCTCCTTCTCTCTTCCTCTCCTTTCCTCTCCTTCTTTCATCCATTAACTTCTTCACTGGATTCAAGCTGAGATTGGTTCATCTTGGAATCATTAATCTTTGTGCCTCTTTATGGTCTCTGTGTGTGTCTTTACCTTCTTACCTCCTTAAAACTTTCCTGGTAATTCACCACTCTAATTCAGGCTTTTACTTTTATGTTACTGTTGCCCACTGTTGTGATTTCTAGCCCTTCTTTCTTAGTTCCAGCCCTACATTTCATGTAAGTGCATACCTGACTGCCTAACCAACATCATCTCCCTTCAGAAGCAGCTCTCTGTACCTGACTTCCCTTTGGGAAAGGCACCTGGAAATTGTGCCATGTGGATCTCAGCGTAAGAGAGGTATAGTTAGAGTCCTTCCAAGGAACCATTTCTCGGCCCCTGCAGAACGGCACCTCCTCTTACCTTGCATACTCAACAGTGTGCCCAGTGGCCACAGCTGGATATTGAAAGGGGGGAAATTTTGTAGAAGATGTATTTTATTTTCTTTAATGGAGGATGAGGCAGGCTTTAAAATCTCCTAACAAATGCTGGTAAGGTGCCTGGAAGGTTTTATGAAATAGTGACTTTTTTAAAATCAGGAGTCAAACTCAACCGGCGCTTGTGCTGCTGAGTTATATCCCCGCCCTGCTGACTTTTGAAGAGCCCACGTGTAAAACATAGCTGCTCAGTGGATTATGTTTGTGTGTCATGCAGAGGGAAATAGAAAATAAGCTAAGTAAAAGAACATACAGCATATTTTTAATTAAGTAGTGGTGTTTTTAGTATATTTGTGAATTGCTCAAAGGCCCAAGGGCAAAGCAGAGAAACAACTTCCTATTTGTTTTCTGAAGAGTGGTTTCTTATAAACTAAAATAGAAATTTTGGATAAGGACTTACTCTTGAATTTTTCTTAATACGATATCACAGTTTTCTTAATGAGGTATTACATTTTAATGATGTCTAGTAAATATTTAGTTGACTGTGGTGTGATATTTGGAAATTGGAAAATCAGAACCATTCTTATGTTTCTTTCAACAGTTCAATGTGTCACTTTCTTTCTACTAACAGTTGCTATGTAGTTAAATTCAGTTTCACTCATCTTTAGGGATTAAATCCCTGAGGACCATTAACCTAAGGAATGTAACTCAATTAGCTGCAAGTGATTTTAAATGAACTAATAGATTTCCCATTTGGAGAGCTTGGTGTCTGTAACTTCTTTTTTGTTCATCCAGCTAGTAAATAGTAAATGAACTCTTTGGTTAAATAATTCACTCTTGTGTTGTAGGTAATGTCAGTACTCTTTTTCTTAACAGTTTTGTGACCTAGGCCACCTGACAATTCTGTGTGGTAGGCCTTTGAGTAGTCTGATACAGAATAAATATTTTGTATATAATTTTTGGATCAAAAAATATCCAAATCAGCTGATTGGCATTAATAATCTACTTGCTGTCTCTCCTCTCCTTATGTCTGTTAAACCTTAGGCTTGGTTTATGTGGAGTTGTTAATGTTAGTTTGCCTGGTTTTACCTTAGTTTTGCCTGGTTTTACCTTAGTTTTCTTTTTTCTCTTTATTTCTGTTTTTTCATCCTTCTAAAGTCCACTCAGTAAGTTTTGTGGTATGATAATCCAGTATGATAAATTCAAGCCTAAACAAGTTAAGTCTAATTGTAGTGTTTCTTTCTAAAAAGTGTATCATCACAGTCTTAAAAATGGTTCAGGTAAAACTTAGGTAAAAGGCTTTTTTTTTCATAATTTTTATTCATTGAAGGTAAAAGAAAAAGAATTTACAGAAGTACCATTTCACTTGCTCTTGCTCATATGTGCTTTGAGAAAGTTCTAGTGCATGAGACATAGGAAGGAGGTGGCAAATACAGATGTTTCGCTCGTCTCTGTGCCATCTTGAGGCTGAGCAGGGCCAGAAAGTTAGCTTTTGGTTCTTAGTTTTTCACTCAGGTTTATTTTTCTAGTGTCATTGCGCGCTCAGCTGTGGCTGCTCCCAGCATTGACAGTGGTGGACTGAGCTTAACCACTTTGTCTTCGCCATGAGAAGGAGCTTCTGCCGCATGTATGAGTGGAGTTCGGACTTTCTGACTTGGTGATCAGAGAATTTCAAGTGGTGGAGGCTTTAGAGAGCACCTGGTGCCGTGCCACCTTTTTAAAACTGGGAAACCGAGATCCAACAAGCTGTGCCCATGCACGCGCTGCCAGGCAGAGTGGAGAGCCAGCCTTCGGACCCCAGGGCCCAGTCCCCTGCCCTCCTGCGGAGGCTGGGTGCAGAGCCCCAGGCTTCGGCCATTTGTGTCTGTTGACCAGTTTCTCTCATAGGAAGAAAGCACTGCTTGTTTTGAAGCGTGTAGCGCAGAGAATCGCCCTGAGCAGCCTTCAAATGCACTCTGACTTTTGATGTGGCCTATGTTTGCTACCTTGGTAGGAAGCCTTGTGATGGAAAGAGAATATAAAAATTCAAGTAATTAACACTCAGAGAAATTACGGTAATAGATGCTGACTGTAGCTCACTTTTTCCTCCCAACACATTGAGTATTTGCAGAATCAGTTATAAGGTCTGTATCCATACTCGATTATGGTGATTTGTGGTGTGTTAACTGTTGGATAAGCTATCCCTACTGGTGTGAAATTGAGTGCTTGTGATAAAGTATCTTTTGAAGTGACTAAGTGCTTACATTGTGTAGTAGAAAAATCATTTAAGGGTAAAGAATTCATTGTGATATTCAGTTTGTTCATTTTAGGCTCATCCTATTTGATACGTAGATAGTACATTTTTATTTTTAAAAGTTTAGAGGTTTTTTTGGTACTGGGAATCAAACTCAGGACCTTGCGCTTGCTTAGCGGGCCCTGTGCTGCTGAGCTATGTCCTCAGCCCTCTATTGTTTTAAAAGTTTGTTTCTGTTAACATTTTTTTTTGTACCAGCAGTTGAACTTACGACCTCACTCTTGCCAGCAGGTACTGTACTGCTGAGCTATGGTCCCTGTTTTTGTAAACTTTAAAGTGGGAACTAGTCTTATATTTCTTTTCCTCATCAGCATAATAATTGAATTAGTTTATTGCCAACTTCACTAATTCTAAATTTTATTTGATTAAATAAGAAAAGCTTACTATGTTATGACATTCTGTCTTTCTTTTCTTCTAGCCAACACATATCTCTTTATGGTACAAGCTCGAGGTATAATGCTGAGAGAAAATGTGAAGACAATAGGACATATGATCAGACTGTACACAAACAAAAACACAACGTTCAATGGCACAGGTGAGGCTGCTTCCTCTTTTATCTTGGTTTGCTTTTGCATCTTAGTGTAAGCCAGATCTTTTAAACTCTTGGTTTGCCTCCAAGTAAGTCCCTGATAACGATGGAGGCATTTTCTACTAAGTGAACTGGTAGATTATTTTATTGTGCAAAAACAAATCTGTCACACACTTCGGGTGATGGGCTTTGGTACCAAGTACAAGTACAGATGTTAAGAGCTGTATTTAAGAGAAATTAATCACAAAGTCATAACTTTTGCAGCTTAATTACTTATCCTATTGTTCATACCCATTATTCCTAAAATATTTTCCAACTATGTCTAGAAAGCATGTACTGTTTTAATTGTAAGAGAACACTTTAATTATAGAATATTCTTAATAATTGTATGACTATCTTAAAGAGCTAAAGGAGAAATTTTATAAAACTAGAACCATGTAGCGACTGTTTTCTTCTTAGAATGTTTAGAAATAGAATCTCCGTTAAACTCACAAAAGATTATGGGCTAGAAGGTCACATTCAGTAAGGGTTTAGCGAAGTGAAATGGTGGAAATGGGTTTAGTGTGGAAGAATGCTAATGCTGCTCATGGCAGTGTTCCTCCAAAGGATTATGGGTGCTTACTTTATTTTATTTTATTTTATTTTATTTTCTGTCTTTCTGAGACAGGATTTCACTATGTAGTTCAGGCTGGCCTTGAGCTCACTCTGTAGCTGTGGTGCTACTTTAAAGGGCCCAGTGGAACTGCCAGTTCTTACACCCACTACACAGCATTGCCATTTTAAAAAATTAATTTTATTGCTACAATTTTTGTCTGCATAATGATCACAATTGTTGTAGGGAATTTGTATCTGTATGTAATATATCTTGATTCTTCTTTTTCTCTCCCATTTCCCTTCCCTCTTTTCAACCTTTCTTGCTCTCCTTAGATACAAAAGCTTTGTTTCCATTTTTTTCATTTTATTCTCTTTATTTTTCTCATTTCCTTTGCTGCTTTTCCTCCTCCCCCCTCGCTTGTTCCCTTTACCATTTGAACATTTTCTTCCTGCTTTTCAATAACTGTCTCATCCATTTTGGTCCTTATTCACACTTGAGGTTTTTAACCCAAGAGAAACATTGGGATATTTAAACATTTGTGTCTCATTTATTTCATTTAAAAGTATGGTCTCAAGGTGCATCTGTTTACCTAAAAATGTCTCAAGTTTATGCTTATGTCAAAGTAGTATGCCATTGAATATAAAAACCACATTGTCTTTGTCCATTTATCTGTTGATGGACATCTAGGCTGTTTCCAAGATTTAGCTATTGCAAATTGTGCTGCTGTAAATATGAGAATGTGTATATCATTGTGGTATGATGCTTTTAACTCTTTCAGGAATATGTATATCAAGAAGGGGAATAACTGGGTCAAGAGGAACCTCTTGTTTTAGTTTTTTGAGGAATCCACACTGATTTCCAGAGTGAAGGGAGTGTGGAAAAGGGCTCCTTTCCCCCATAGCCTCACCACTATTTGTTATTGGCTGATTTCTTGGTAATAGCTGTTCTTTCTGGAATGAGATGGCATGTCAGTGTTGTTTTGATTTGTATTTCTTGAGTGACCAGTGATTTTGAAGTTGAAAATACGTATTGATTTGCTATTTCTATTTCTTCCTCTGAGAAGTGTCTATTCACTTCAGATGCCCATTTTTGGACTGGGTCTTTAAGTTTAGGGGGTCTGATTTTTGTGAGTTCTTTATATATTCTACGTATTAGTCTTTTGTCTGTGCAACAGCTGGCAAAAATTTTTCCTGCACTATGAGTTGTTTCTGTTCTGTTAATAATTTCTTTTGCCGTGCAAAAGCTTTTTAATATGTTGTGATCTCAGTTGTTGAATCTTTGTAATATTTTCTGTGTGATCAACTTGCTTTCATAAAGTCTTTGCTTATACTTATGTCTTCAGCAGTTTTACTTGTTCAATCTTCCAGCAGATTAGGGTCTGTGTTCTAATATTTAGATCTTTGATCCATTTCTATTTTAGTTAAGTACATGATGAGAGATACGGGTCGAGGTTTAATCTTCAACATGTGGAAAAACAGTTTTCCCAGCACCATTCATTAAAGAAACTAATTTTTTTTCCAGTGAAGGTGTTTGGCTCCTTTGTTAAAGATGAGGTAGCTGAACATGTTTGAAGCTGTTTCTGCATCTTCTTATCTGTTACAGGCCCCCCCACCACCACAGTAGTAGTAACTACTGTAACTTTGTTGTATAATTTCAAGTCAGGAATTGAGATGCCCCCACCTTGCCTTTGTTGCCCAGAATTCCATTGGCTATTTTACAGTCTCCTCTGGTTCCCTGTGAATTTTAGGATCATTTTCTGTAAGACTGTGAGATGTTATTTGGATTGGAATTGCATTAAATCTGTGTAACAGTTTTGGAACTATGTCCTTTTCACTGTGTTGGTTCTTACTACCTAAGTAAAAAGGATATCTTTCTATTTTCTGACATTGTTTTTGATCTGAAAAGCCTACTGTAATTTTCAGTGTAAAGATCTTTTACTTCCTTTGTTAGATTGATTCCTAAGTTTATTTTTTTGGATGTTGTAGTGAAAGGTATTTTTTCCCTAATTTGCCTCTCAGTGAACTTCTTATTTTGTACAGGAATACTATTGAGGTTTGAGTGTTGACTTTATATCCAGCTATGCTACTGAATTTGGTGGTTAACTCTAGCAGCATTTTGGTGGCGTTTTGGAGAGCCTTCTGTGTGGAGTATTGTATCATTACCAAATTGTGATAATTTAACCTCCTGTCTTCTTCTTTTCTTTCTCTTGTCTAATTGCTTAGGCTAATGTTTCCAGAACTATATTAAGTAAAAGAGTGGTGATAGTGGATATCCTAGCCTTGTTCCTGATTTTAGCATGGAAGTTTTCAGTTTTGTTTAGTATGATGATGACTGTTGATTTTTCTGTCAGATTGAGATAAAGACCATTTATTCCAGTTTGCTAGATGGTAGTTTTTGTGAATGGGTGTTGAAGTCGGTCAGACTTTTTTTCTGCATCTCTTGTGATAATCTTGTTTTTGTCCTTGGCTCTGTTAATATGGTATGTGACATTTAAAAGTTGCATATGTTAGATCATCCATATATCCCTAGATGAATCCTAATTGGTCACAGTGTATAATCTTGATAATTTGCTGTATTCTGTTTGCCCATATCTTATTGTGGGTTTTTGAGTCTATGTTTATTAGAGAGATTGACCTGCAGTTTTCTTTTTGGGTTGGATCCTTCTATAGTTTTGGCGTCAGGGTAACGCTTGCATCCAGGAATGAATTTGGGAATATTGCTTCCTTTGTAATTTCATTAAAAGTTTGAGAAGCCACAGCATTGTGTGTTCTCTAAATTTCTTGTAAATTCATCAGTGAACTTGTTAGCACCTGGGATTTTTCTTGTTTGATAGTTTTTTAATTACATCTTCAGTTTCACTGACTGATACTGGTTATTTAGAATTTTTCTACCATGTGTTTCAGCCTTTGCAGTTCATGTGTGTCTAGGAATCTGTGTATTTCTTCTGTGTTTTCCACCTTATTAAAGTGCAGATTTATCAAAGTAGATATTGGTGGTTTTGTGGATTTCTGCAGGATCTGTTGTGATTTCACCCTTAGTACATGGATTTGAGTGTTTTCTTCCTTTTTTGATAAGGTTGGCTAGGGATGTGACAATTTTATTCAATCTTTTAAGGAACTATTTGATTCTAATTTTTTTAGTCTCTGTTGCATTAACTTTTGCTCAGATTGTAATAATTTCTTCCTTCATATGAGCTTTGTGCATGAATTGCTATTCCTTTTCTAAAAGCTTGAAGTTCAAGGTTGTTTATTTGAGCTTGCTCTGTTTTTCTCATGAGAATTCATTGCTATAAATTTCTTTCTTTCTCCCTCTCCCTCTTTCTCTATCCTTCTCTTTGTTTTTTTAATAAATTTCTCTTGTAGAACTATTTCAGTTGTGTCTTATAAGTTCTGATATGTTGTATTGGCATTATCTTTTAATTGTGGAAACTAATTTCTTCTTTATCTGTGACCCATTAGTTATTCAGATGGTGTTAATATAGTTTCCCTGTGTTTATGCAGTTTTTGTGATTTCTCTTGCCATTGATTTCCAATTTTATTGCCCTGTGATCTGATAATATGCATGCGGTAATTTTAATTCTTGCATAGTTACTTAATCAGGTTCTATGAGTTAGTATGTGGTCTAGTTTTGGAAAAAGTCCCATGTGCTGCAGAGAAAAATGTAAAGTCTGTTCTTGTGCGTAGAACACTCCATATATAACTACTAAGTCCATTTCTTCACAGGACTGATTGAGTTCTGATAGTTTCTAGTTGATTTTTTTTCAGTTGTTCTGTTTCTTTGTGACAGTGGGCTATTGAGGTCCCTCAGTACGATGGTATTGGTGCTTATTTGATTTTTCATATGAATTGATGTTTGTTTTGTGTAGTTGGCTGTGTCCTTTGTGCAGTCTTTTGATTTTTCATTAATTATGATCAGATTGTATCATTCTTGTTTGCATCATCAACCAGTATCTGTGGTTTGTATTTTTTATGTTCTTTGCAATTTTTAAGAAGTCTTTCATTGGATAATCACTAATTACAAGGCCATCTTCTGGATCTGATTTCCTGTCCTCACCTTAGTTGATTCTGCTCTGTATACTTTCAATGGAATTTTCAATCTCCTGGATATCTGTTCAAATCTGTTTTGTGGTATACAATCTTTTCCTGTGTTGGGCAGTCTTAGGTTTCCATCATGTTTCTAAGCTCCTCTATTTTTTTTAAAATGTGTACTTAAAATGTGTACTCTTGATTTACTAACCATTCCCTTCATTATGGTCATTATCTCTTTAGTTATCTGTGAAATTATTTTTGGTTTGTTTTTTCTAGAGACTCATTCACCTGCTTTGTTACGTCCATCCTATAATCTCAGAAAATTAATCTGGGAGGGAGTCTTTTGATTTCTTCTGTATCATTCCCATTTTACATTTGCCTTG